TTTTTTTTTCCGAAGTTTGTTAACTCCATCTATTGGTGGGGAGCTGCACCTGCTGGAAAACGGGTCCAGCGTCCCATAATACATAAACACAACAGCACAGAGTGGTTAACATAGTACCTGCCGGGACCTCTCAGCCCGTATGATACTTTTTGGATTAGATAGACGTTTGAAAATCGCACGCGCCTGTTTCCTTTCCCATGCGGCGACAACCATCTTTCGCTAAACACTAGGACCACATGGGGGATTTCAGTTCTGTCTGTGTCCCCACACTCAATTTTCCAAAAATCCTTGGCAAACCCCATTTGCTGTTCTTCCAGGGCCTCCTTTTTTTTCCCGCATTCTTAATCACTCCGACCGGAAGACAGCACAGGGCGTGAGGTTTGAACATCACACCCGCAAACCTGAGCCCTAAGGTAACCAATACCACGTGATCAATCACCCACAGGGTTGTGGGCAGTTGATTCACGTAGGAAGGATTGTTCTGATGGATTGTTCTAGATGTGTCTAACGAACAAAACCCTAACTAAGAGAAATTTTTGATCCCTCTCTTCTTGGCATGAGAGCATGTAAAAGGCAAACTATAGCAGAGGCATTACAGCAAATATCCTCTTATGCGAGGTCCCACTTACCGCGATTCTACATCTCAGACCTTGGGTTAGGAAGATCAACGGCCGGGAAGGAAGAATGGAGGCAAGTGGGCTTCCCACTTGTATCTTCTACTGGCTCAGATGGAGGTGTTTCTCCATTTCTCCCAGAAGCTTCTGGTCCTTTCCTTCATTCAGTTGTTGGACGTTGCAGTTTGGCAGATCCCCCCAGTCCCTGCCCCTGCTGATAAAGAAAGCCTCCTCTGTAGCCTGCCTCCAGCTATGCCCATCTTTGTTCGGCCTAAGGTCCACATTTCCCCCCCACCCTCCAACTACGCTATATTCTTTTCTCAATTGTACATGGCTCCTCCACATCTCCTTGCTCGCCCGTTATCTTTTGTAAAAAACAGGAATCCCGCTGCGAGGTTCTTCACGGTACGAGAGATAGATAGGATAAGGTCCCACTCACCCGCATGTCTCGATTCTCGGCTGTCCATTGCTGTGATTTGATCGACGGTCATAACTGAACAATCCAGTGACTGAGACATCGCTCCAAAATGTGCAAAATGAGACTGAATCTTGCACTAGAACATGGAAAGGTACACCGCCATATTTGTTGTCTTTTGTGCATGTGGAGAGTAGCCCGGCCCTTTGCCCCCTCATTTGCAATTTAGATGTCATTCATGATGTCATTCATACAGTGATGCCTGAAAATAAAGGGAAAATTCTCAGTCGCTGGGCATGTTTTGAAGAGCATAGAGTATGCCCTCAGAAGAATGCACCCAGCCAGGCAGGCAGCAAGGTTAACCTGCACCAGGACGGCTAAAGGGGTGCAGGTACATTTCTAACAGAGGGGTTCAGGCACAGTAGGCAAAATGTAGACCTGGAGAGAAGACCCACTAGCAACGGGGATTGGGTTAAGATCCTGAGTCTGGGCGTGTTTTCGGCAGAGATGCAGGGAAGGAGTTCAATCTCGATTTTCTGCACTTGTCCACAAACGTGTTCAGATTCAGGCGTTCAATCCAATCATCTTTGCTACGGTAGTGGGACCTCGCCCCTGCAGAGAAGTCCCACTTGGATAAACTAAGAAAGAGACACTAACCGTCAATCTTCTTTATCTATCTATGGAGAGTAAGTACACCCCCCTCAGCAATAAGCTTACTTAGGGCCAGATCCCACCTGCAAAGAGGATTGGAATAAGTGTCTGAATCTGGACGTGTTTGTGGAGAGGTGCAAGAAACCGTAATTGATCTGCTTTTCTGCATCTCTGCGTGGAACATGTCCTGATTCAGACACTTATTCCAATCCTCTTTTTTTTTTTTTTTTTTTTTTTTTGAAAAAACTGCCCAGGGAGCTAGGGGCGCTGGTATGAGCAGACGCCTCTATCTCCCCCCGGGAGGCTCCATCTATTAGTGGGGAGCAACACCTGCTGGAAAACGGGTCCAACGTCCCTTAACAAAGTCATTGATTTCCTTCTGAAAATTTCCTCATCATTCTGCCAGCATTGATTGCCCTGAGAACAGGGGATTAACTGCACAAGAATATGAGTAACTAGAGAGGGGGGAAGAAGGGGCCTCTTCAGCCTTGCTGATAGAGTGCGAAGTTGAAAATGAAGAGAGCGAAAAAAAGGAAGAAGACCTGATGATGACAGAATGTTTCGTCGGAGTTGCACCGACTCATCAGGAGGCTGAACTTTCGCCAATCTGCAGAATCTCCGTATTTGATGGTTTGTGTCATGAACCCATTAACCCTTGTTGAAGGCAGACTGTCCCCAAGCGGAACATAGCAGTGGGCAGCAACCCTGTGGAGCACCAGGCAACACAGTAGAGGCAACACGGCTGCACAATGCCAAAAAAGACTGCAAGGAATGACATGGCACGTAGGACATGCAGCACGGCAACCGTGTAGTGAAGCACAAGACAACACAAACAAGGCAACCACACTGCAAGGGACGACAGGGCGAGCGGACCAGCAGCTCCGCAACCGTGGAGCGGGGCACAAGGCATCAGCAACAAGGCAACCATCTGATAAGTCCCGCAAGCAGCAAACACGGAAGGCACGACCAGCAGAAGGGCAGCAAGGCAGCGGAGCAGCGAAGCGCAAGGCAATACCAACCGCACGGCCACACCACACAGCAAACACATCAACCTGCAAAGAACCACATGCGAAGCAAGCGGGGCAGGCAGCAGGGCAGCGGCGGAGCGCAGACGAGGTCGTCCACACATCCAACGCGGAGCAAAGCAGCACATGACCTACTCACATCACGATTGAACCCCGCAGACTGTTGGTTCCCACCACCCACTGAGCCAGGGAAACACTCCGACGAGCATCCGTCATCACCCACAAACAACATAGACATCCCGAACCGAGCGGCCCCCTTAAGAGTGGAGTTGGCACTTCAAACGAGGAACCACCGATTGTTTGGCACTACTTAAGGGTGCTCAGTTGGGCACACAGAAAAATACTGGAAAAAATCAGAGGGAGGACAGACAATAAGAGGGAAAAAGACAGACATAAAACTGATTGTGTGTGTGTGTGTGTGTGTGTGTGTGTGTGTGTGTGTGTGTGTGTGTGTGTGTGTGTGTGTGNACCAGAGGCCGGGGACCTCACAATTCTACCCGGGTTGCTGGAAAACAGGTCCAGAGTCTTCAGAAAGAAAACAGACTACCGGCTGGAAACCAGGTCCAGCGTCCTTCTTGAAGGAACAGTTCTATAGGCTTGGGCAAGTCCTTGCAGAGTCAGACAAAGAGCACCCCTCTTGACAGTCTATTGACTATCCCTGATGGAGCCTTTAACACAAGTGTTTGAATTCTGGCTGTCCCTAGTTCTAAAAGGACTTGCTTTCAAATAACAGATTGTTCATCCCACAGCAGTCTGGAAAAGTACACTTGGCCTGAAGCCAGTGATCCTGCCCATGTAAAGGGCTGTTCCCACAATCTGAGACTCTTTTTCTTCCTTAGCTCTGCTAATATTAGCACGGGAACCGAATACCGAAATTGGTTCCTGATAACAGTCTGAGAGGTAGGTTTGGAGTAGAACCTTCTATCCCTCCGTGCTAGCCAAAGAATCCAGAAAGCTATCGCACGGAATTTGTAGGCCACAGCCTTACCTTTCATTACTGTAGTAACTCCAGAGATCACAAAGTCTTGAGTCCATAAGATAGAATCCCCTTAAGCTCTAAACCATGTGTCTTGTAACCATTCCCAGAAGCCTCTGGCCACCACACATTCCCACCATAGGTGTGCAGAGGATTCCACTCTTGGGTAGGGGCAATGGTCACAGAAGATACTTACCAACATGCCCTTTTCTGAACACCATATTCTTATATAGTCTAATTAATTGATAGTAAAAAGAATTATGTATTGTGATATGTATGGTATAATCAATTAGGCTATATATTATAATTTAATTCTCTGCAGTGGGCACACATGAATGCATATGCATCCACTTTGGCAGTGGGATCTGGCCCTTACTATAGGGGCCTCACTCCACTGCTCACCAAATGTGCAAAATGAGAATGAATCTTCACATACGCAGCCAAATTTTTGTCTTTTGTGGATGTGGTGAGTGTGGAGCCAGGCCCAAGGGCAGATGACATTAAAGATATTCGATCAGTCCTAAAATGTATCTGGTCTACGTTCCAGTTTACATACTTTTCGAAAGCTGAGTAGTGGAGCGAGGCCTTATAAGTACTCCCCGTGCGAGGGGGACCTCGGCCCTGGAAGTCCTGACCAGCATCCAGGTTCATTTTTTTCTTTTTTTTTTGAGGTCTAGCTTTTTTTTTTTTTTTGGGGGTCTAGCTTCATTTCGACCCAAGGGCCTCGCTCCACTGCTCAATATCCTTTTTGAAGTTTATGTACCTGGATCCATTTACGACCGTATACATTCGGAATTTCGGGTCAGGCAGAATGTATCTGGATCAAAGAGAAAGAGGCCCGACGAGAGAGAGCATGTTTGTTCGAATTAACGACGAACCTTCCCTGGACATGTACATAGATGGCCAGTACGTCCAAATTCAGTCGGAAAACGTGAAGTTATATATGGCTTCTAGTTTGTTTCCTTAGCGTTTCTAACGCACACGTGTCCTTCGGCATATCCACTAGAAGATGTAACGATATGAAAAATATTTTTTTTTTTCTTTTTTTTCTTTTTTTTTGGTTCCACCACTTCCCGCCGTCATCTTACCGATCAACGATAGACAAAGGTAGGAGTGCCAGACACACAGACACACACGCACAGAGAGAGAGAGAGAGAGAGAGAGAGAGAGGGGGAGCAGAAGTGAAGCCAGTGGCACGGTGGCTGCAAGGGCAAAGAGGTTCGGGGGAGAGAGAGAGAGAGAGAGAGAGAGAGAGAGAGGAGGGGGGGGGGTGCAAAAGTGAAGCCAGTGGCTCGGTGGCTGCAAGGGCAAAGAGGCGGCAAGTCCATCGTTGTCCTACTCTTGTGGCATCGAAGGCAGTGAGACGCGGGAGGCAAGAAGGAGAGGGAGAGAGCGCGAGAGAGAAGAGGAGGGTAGAGATGGCGGCGATGGCAGCCACGTCAGCGGCTTCCTTGGCGGTCTCGACGCCGGCGGGATTTCTTTCGAGCTCGTCTTCCGTCCTCGACGGGGGGCAGCGGGGCGCAGGCGCGGGGGCGGGAACCGCGGTAATCGTCCAGCAGCAGCGGAGGAGCCGCCACGTGGCATTGCGGGCGGTCGCCTCGCCCAGAGCGGAGTTCGAACTCCCGCCGCCGCCTTATGAGCTCGATGCGCTGGAGCCGCATATGTCCAAAAACACGCTGGAGTTCCACTGGGGCAAGCATCACCGCGCCTACGTAGATAACCTTAACAAGCAGATTGCGGGGACAGAGGAGGAGAGGTACTCTCTTGAGGAGGTGGTTTTGAAATCCTATAATAATGGGACTCCCACCCCCTTGTTCAACAATGCCGGCCAGATTTGGAACCACACCTTCTTCTGGGAGTCGATGAAGCCAGCTGGCGGCGGCGCGCCCAAGGGGAAGCTTCTGCAGCTAATTAATCGAGACTTCGGCTCGTTCGACGAGTTCAAGACCCAGTTTAAGGCCGCCGGGGCCACCCAGTTTGGGTCCGGATGGGCATGGTTGGTCATCAAGCCCAGCCTTGAGGAGTGGATTGCACAGAGACAGACTGGCAGCGATGAACCGGTGAAGGACAAGGATGGAAATATCGCAAAGTCCTTGGCCGTCGTCAAGACGCCTAATGCCGTCACTCCGGTGGTGTGGGGAGATGTGCCGCTGCTGACCATGGATGTGTGGGAGCATGCGTACTATTTGGATTACCAGAATCGACGTCCAGCGTACATGGACGTGTTTCTAGATCAGCTCGTTAATTGGGACGCGGTGGAAGCGCGCCTCGAGGCCGCGCTCTCGACTGTTAATCTGACTCAGCAAACTTTCACTTCTTGAGGAATTTTGGCGCGAAAGAGTGCAGTGCATGTTCGCGCCGCTGCACGCATGGAGGGAAATTCTTGAGGAATTTTGGCGCGAAAGAGTGGAGTGAAAGTTCGCGCCGCTGCATGCATATGGCGGGAAAGAGCCCAGTGAGAGCATTTGCGGCATGCATGGCGGGAATTTTTTTTTTGAAGTGAATGTTCGCTGCATGCATGGCGGGAAAAGTGAACTGCTTCTGACTTTACAGCTATGGGAGGTATAATACTTTTAAGCGTATTTGGCGGGAAAAGTGAACTACTTCTGACTTTACAGCTATGGGGAGGTATAATACTTTAAGCGTATTTGGCGGGAAAGAATTGAGGAAATGGCGGGAGAGTAGGTAGGGCGGAGGGAAGGAGGAATTCTTGAAAATATGTCCAGGGGAGCAGCCAAAAAGAGGCAGTACTGATTCTCAAACTTGTGCACAGAGAGAGAGAGAGAGAGAGAGAGAGAGAGAGAGAGAGAGAGAAAGAGAGAGAGGGAGGAAGCCGGTGCTTTCGGGCCTGTATGATATGTTTAGTTATATAAATAGAGATGAACAAGGGGAAATGACAAAGGCCACACGGGACACATTTTGGCGGGGAAAGGCAGCCGCCATGGACACTTTTTGGCGGGAGAAGGCCGCCGCCAAAAATGAATGTAACTGTACTTAGGAGGGTAGGAAGACTAGGTGCAAGGCCTGCACCTGGCTGCCTGTTTAGGGTAAGTGCATTCCAAGTGGCCTATTTTGTGATAAATCTAGTGGCCTAATAAACGACTGCTCCCTAAACAAAATTTTATTGTTGCGTCGGCGGATATCGACTTCGCATTCTAAACTCTCCTCTCGACTTCTGGGGCGGCGACCTTCCTGGCGTTCTGGCCGACCAGTCGGCGACCGACCCGGCATTCTCGGCGGTTGGGCGGCGACCGAACTGCCATTTTTGGCGGCTGGACAGCGACCTCATTAACTAGCCCGCCACTTTGTTACTCGGGCGGACTACGCATCCACCTTCTCCTCTCCTCTCCTCTCCCTCTCCTCTTTTCTCTGTCTCCTCTTTTCTCTCTCCTCTCCGTGCCGGCTGCTCTTCTCGCCCCCCTTCATTCGGCGCCGCGAATTCCCCCCTAAATTCCCTGCACTTTCCCTGCACTTTCCCTGAACTTTCCCTGAACTTTCCCTGAACTTTCCCTGAACCTTCCCTGAACCTTTCCTGAACTTTCCCTGAACCTTCCCTGTGAACCTTCTCTACATCTGCCCCGAATCTTTGGGGACCTCCCGGCACCTTCCTGGACCTCCTGTCATCTTTATCTCTCTCTCCCTCCGTCGTCCCTCCCTCAGAACTCTCTCCTCCTCCTGCTTCTCTGTCTTATGATCAGTGGAAGATTGGCTATCAGTGTTCGCTTGCCATCATCTCTCTTTTCCCGGGATTTTTGATGGAGTGTACTTGCTTGATGATGATTCTGTACATTTTGCAGTATGGATTTTACAATCTGCTTGCGCTTGTGATTTTCTCAGGTGTACATTCGTCAGGCTGATGTTCAGTGATTACTGTTTGGGACTCTTTTCAATCAGTCGAATGCAAAACGGGGACGTGTGAAAAAGCGGCATTCACCTCTACTACACCCTGAACATTACAAAAAAAAAAAAAAAAAAAAACGCGGGGTTCGAAATGTTCCATTTGTAACGATGAAATTTTGGTAATCAGTGGATTTCGGTATTTCGGTGCATTCCAGGAATAGGAATGCATTACCGTCTTCGATTCCCTCAAGATTTGTGATGCCCAGAATGCCTGTGTCAGAACGTACGTGGACGTGCATGATCTATATTGATTGACGTACTGACGTCCCGGTTCAGTCTCACACAGGCGTTCTGGCCATTGCATGCCTCTACGCCACCTATGAACGGAATTTCTCCTAAAATTTTACTTCGTGTGTGTGTGTGTGTGTGTGTGTGTGTGTGTGTGTGTGTGTGTGTGTGTGTGCGCGCGTTGTCCTGTTCGCTGTTCAGAA